TCTGCAAGCCTACCTAATAAATTCCCTTGCATAGCTTGCACATATATTTTCCTCTGATTCTGTTCCTCTACAGAACTCTCATACAGACTGTTCTGTGACCTGGAGCTGCTGCAGAGCAGTACTGGTGTCATGAGGGCCCACATTTGGTTGAGGGGAAGCTCTCACAGTAAGAGGAAAGCTGCAGGCCTCTCCAGCACTTACTGAATCCTCATGTGCAAGGGCCAAAGCATGCCACACACCTTCAATGGGGGAGAGACATCTGTTCCTCCAGTAAGTGCAGCAGTATTATCACTCGGTTTATAATTCTCACAGGAGTAGGGAGTGGGAATAATCAGGCACAATAATGCAATCAGTAAATATCTGATCAAATGAATGATGTTAACAGATGAGTGAAATGACTATATTCTACCTGCTAGAAAAAGTAAATACTCTACATCCAAAACAGTTGGTAAGTAGGGAAAGAAATGATTTAGGAACAAAAAACACAAACAACCAAATGACATTGTATGAACCAGTGATTTATATCTGATTTGCACCACAGACTTTACTCATCACTACTGTGCAAACCACTTCCACTGTAAGTTGAAGACAGCTGATGGTCATGGTCTACCATTTTTGGTGTTTGTTCCAGTGCTGCTTCTTCTGGAGCTCAGACTGTACCCTGGAGTCTGTGCTGCAAGCCAGAGCCCCAAAACTAGCTCCCAGCCTGGAGGGCAAGCTCCGGCTCCAAACTGAGGCTGGTGGTATCTTTTGGTATCTTTCTTCCAGCAGGACACAGAGGCCCTGCAGAAGCCTCACAGACAACTGAAAGGTGACGAGATGGAAGTAACTCCAGTGGCCTAGAGCAGAAGTCTCCCCTCCTTCTTGAATCTGCAATGGACAAGGCCTTGAACAAGAAAAGAAGTGTTTTGGCATTTAGCTCCTGAGATTCAGGATGCCTCTGGTATCACACTTCTCAGACTTGGTGTGACAATACAGACAGATCCAAAAGCTGTCGAGCTGCACTGCAGAGTACCTCTGGCCACTTGATAGTTCCACACCACCTTCAAGAGTCCCATGCAGAGAGGGTAACTTCCATACAAAGTTCTTCATCCTCACCACTGTTAACAATAGCAAAAGTCAAAAGGCACCACCAGGCATGTAATCCCAGCGCTTGGGAGACTGAGGCAGGAGGATCGTTGTGAGTTCAAGACCAGCCTGGGCTACAAAGTGAGCTCAAGGCCAGCCTGAACTGCACAGTGAGACCCTGTCTCAAAAAGACTAAGTATGGGACAAATAAGTTGTGCTGAAAGGTAAATATTCAGATGTGTTAAGTATAAATAGTAAGGTGGAGGAGCTCAAAGTATGAACCCCCAGCCCGAGGCCGCCCAAGACACTCATGGGAATCCACTGGGCCCGTCCTCTCCAACCTCACACTGTAATGAGGCCACATTCCTACAGCAGACTCCGACCAAAGACAAAGTGCGACAGACCAAATGTAAGTGAAAGGCTGGGTGCACTGGCACATGCCCGTAATCCCAGTACTCAGGAGGCTGAGTCAGGAGGATTACTGTGAGTTTGAGGCCAGCCTGGGCTGTATAAGCGAGTTCAAGGCCAGCCTGCACTGCACACCAAGACTGTCTCAAAACAAACAAAAAAAATTGCAGGTGAAAATATAGCTGCCTCCTACTAAGCCAGACACAATAGAAAACAGTTTTTGTTTAGTTTGAAAACAAACTTAGACCTAATTTTGCTCTGGAAATTATTTTTTTATAAATTCTGAAATGTTAAATTTCTCAACTTTATGTTTTAGTATGGCAAATATTAATAGACACAAGACACATTTTAAAGCTCTTAAAAACCTTAAAACTTTAATGATGTAAAATAGTCCTGAAACCAAAATTTGAGTATATGGGTATTTACAGCATAACTGTGTGAAAAGGGGAGGAAAATGGATATATCCTTGCACTAGCTCATACGTGTATAAGGTATAAAACAGACCAGTATTAGCAGAGCTGGGCACATGGAGGACCTTTTAATGAATGTACTTTCTTTTTCTGCTCTATGTATAACCACTTCCAAAAATTAAAAATCCAACCAACCACCCCTAAGATCCAGAAGTAGCAGGAGGGTCAGTCTGACAGAAGATGGGAAAGTCAGCTGGGAAGTTGTATGTGGACTGTATCCCTCGTTCTACAGCAGGAAGTAAGTGTCTCCAGGGCTAAACCTGAGAGGGTCCTTCTCTAAAGAAGCAAACCAGGAGTCCTAGCACAGGATTCGAGCCTGAGAATCACCACTCAGTCACAGTTGATTGCATACGAGACAAACAGGAAAGCTACCCAGAAGAGACAGAAGTGGTTCAGGGACTAAAGGACAGCTGTTCCTCTTCTAGTCTTCCCAAAAGATGACATCATGACACATACATACCCATGTTTACAGCAGCGCAATTCCTAACAGCTAAATCTTGAAAGTGGACTATATGCCCATCACCGATGGATAAAGAAAACATGGTTTTTATACACAATGGGGTACTACTCTGCCATAAAGATAAACTTGAGTCATCTGCAGGGAAACTGATCGACCTTGAGAACATAATGTTAAATGAAACAAATCAGACACAAGCTTAAACATCGTCTCTCTTAAACAGAAACACAAAGTATAAAAAAAGAGCAGAATAAGATAGATGATACAAAGCAGAGAGGTAGATATTTCTAAACAAGATCAAAAGATGGAGGGAAGGAGAGCAGGGAAGGAAGGAAAAGGGATGAAAAAAGGAATTAAGCTGTATTATGGACATGCACCAACTCCATACAAGGAATGGAAACATTATGTACTGCAAACATTTACCAAAAAGGGGTGGGGCGAGAGATGGATAGAAGCAGTAGGGAGGGAAGGGGAAGGGGAGGAAAAAGAAATTAATATGCATGATGTACATGTACCAATTCCCTACAAGTAATATAAAGAGTAGGTACACATGTGCTAATAAAACTAAGACAGACCCAATGTGTATCAGATCAGAAGTCCCTGAATAAGAAGGAACTAAAGAAAATTCGAAATATTTCTAAAAACAAAAGCCTGCTAAACTGTGGAAGCAACCCAAATGTCCATCCACTGAGGACTGGATAAAAAAACTGTGGTACTTTTGTATAATGGGATATTACTCAGCTATAAAGAAAGATAAACTCGAGGCTTTTATAGGTAAATGGTCACAACTAGAGACCACACTCATAAGTGAAATAAATCAGACCTGCATGTGTAAGCATCATATTGTCTCACTAGTGTAAGACCTGAAAGAGTGAATAAAAACTAGGAGATATGATAGACATTGTGAAATGAAAGGAAAATGCTCAAAAGTAAAGGGTAACTGGGGTGTGGGAAAAGAGAAGGGAAAGAAGGGGACATTATGTAAGTACATATATAAGGGATAGCTAACATAGGTGTACTACTGTCTTTTATTGCTCTACAGAAAGGAACAATTAATGATTACTTGTTTGATCAATCTTGATGTCTCTATTTGTTTTGAGAAACCACTTTGAAGATATCAATAATACAACAACCATTATTAATTTCCTACAACTTTGTAACTCTGTTTTGTTTGTATTGTTCTTATGCTATTTTGTAAATGGATGTCTGTTTGTTAGTATGTTTTTCTTATTTCTTAAAATAAATAAATAAATAAATAAAAACAAAAACCACAAAGTCATATACTCCAAGGTATTAGAGAAGTTACTGCGAGAGTACCAGTTGGTCTGGTAGAGTAATGGTTTTCAAATAGCCACCCATTTGTTCTTGCACAAATCACTGATACACTATGGCACAAGAGAAAAGAACATATTTTAGCATCAGACATAGATGCAAGCTTCTACCTGCAAGCTCATGAGTAAGTCACTTAATCTGAGCATCAATTCATGGAGTATAACTTGAATAACACCTCCTTTAGAGAGTGACCATGAATTTAATGGGTTATTGTTTTCCCCTGACAGTACATTCCCTAGCACTTAGTAGGTCTTGAACAAATGGTATTCTTATTACCCATGATAGCAGAAGGAGTTGGTGTGTTGCTAGAAAATGTTTTAAAGACAACAGTTTAAAGACAACAGAAATCACAACAAAGCATATTTTAAGGTTAATAAATATTTAGTCTTAACATTTTCATTTATAAACATACAACTCTGCATATACAGAGAAATATATGTTCTGCGGACACAACAATACTAGAGAAATGAAAGCAATCACTAAAAAGATCACTGGGGAGAAAACCAGAACTGCATTATATGCCTTCTGCCCATGTAAACTGGAAGTAAAAAGAAAGATTACACACGATCCCAGTCATTTTGTCTCAACTGCAGGAACTTCTTCCAGATGCCTAGCCTGGGTCATGGACAGCCAAAAATAGGCAAGGCCTGAGCTTTTTAAAGGTGATGATTTGAGACATTAACAACAGGTCTCCCTCTTCTCTTTCCTATCCAAGGAATTGAAGTTAATTAAAGAACAATCAGTTCCACAAAATACTGTCAACACCCAACTTCTTTCAGACATAGTTCATTATCTATTTAAAAGTACACACTGTTACTTAAGCCTGAACAAGAAGTTCCTTCCAATTCACCCACTCCTTGATTTAGTGTATAGCGTGTAAATAAAGGACATGGTTGAGAAACTGATGCTATCAAGTGTGTCATCTATAGAAGTTGGGCCCAAGAAATGAAAATTCTGAGCCCATCTTCATATCCAGCATGCATTTCATATGAGAATCAAGTCACTAGTGACAGAACTTCCAAGTTCATCTACTGGGGTTGGCTAGGGACTGGGGATGAGAAGACAAACAAGTGCCCAAGCATCGGTCTACATCTTGCCCCCTTCAGTCCAAGACACCCTCGGATATGGTGAGACCTTTTGCTTTAAGAGCATTTCAATGGCATGACACGATACTGTGCAGTTAGGAATTTTGATCACCCAGTAACTTCAAGTTCAAACTGCAACATTAAAAACTGACTGTAACATTTTATAAATAAAGCATATGATTTTCTTCTTTTTAAAATTTTTATTAGTACATGTTTGCAATACATGATTACATTCATCATGAGGAGTTGGTATGTAAATGTAACAAGATGAACAAAAGCCATTCTTATGACAGGATACAAAATCAACATTACATATTGAAACAATACTTTAAACCATCAACACCATGTTGCCACATTTCACATTTACCCACATGTACAGGTTTCAGCTGGAAAAGGACATTCATATGTCAACCAGTCCCCTAGGAGTAGCTAGAAAAGCAAACGATGGGCACTACTCAATCTAGTCAGCATCTGGATTCATATGAGATCCAGTCATCAAATCATGGAGCCAGCTCAGCCGTGCAACAACAGAGCATGTATGTAATCCCAGTACAATTACCAGAGTCTGTGCTTCCTGGAGTGTACTGTAGGGAAAATGGAACCACAGGGGAGGGGGCCTTAATGGTGTTAACCAGCCTTTGTGGAAATGTTTAAAGCATGCAGGACAGAAAACTGCAATCAATAACCAGCTTTAAAACACAAAATAAGGTCAGGGATTTAGCTCAGTGGCACAGTGCCTGCCTGGCAACTGTGAGGTTCTGAGTTTGATTCCCAGTGCAAAAAAAAAAAAATCTCCTAAAACAGAAATATTTGAAATATCTATTTCATAATATGGGAAATACGAATATTTGTCAGAAATGCAAGAATATAGGTTTTCCAGAGCTTCACATATTTGGGGGCCCAACATCAAATGTTTTAAGCTTCTTTATAACATACAGATCAGAACAAAAACAAGGCTGAGGTCCCAGGCAGGCTGAGTGGCATCTTCATCTTCTAGGCCCCATTTCTGGTCTATAAGCCAAGTGCAGCTCAGCCCTGGTCCATCCCAGCACTGGGTGAGTGGCCAATGGCCCTACCTTGTAGGCCAGGCCTGCAGAGGGAAGAAAACAGTGTTCCCTGTGCAGCACCCCCAGAAGGCCTGAGGCAAGAACATCCAAACAACAGCTCTCTCTGTTTTCCTCATCATTCTTTTAATATTACCTTCTCAACAAGTAGAAAAATAGGCTGTAAGTAGGTTTAGCCAGCAATAAATGTTCCTAAATCAGACAATAAAAATACATCTCTCAATAATGCAAATCAACCTTCATACACCTGTTATTCTTCTGCCTTCTCTTTGACTTTTCTCCAATCAATTCCTAATTTGAGATGTTTTCCGAATACCACTATGAAAAACAAATAAAAACAACACAAGAAGCAGTAGCTCTTGAATTCGGCAGGTTTTAGAAGCATTGTTTTAAAGGGTGGGAGGGTGTTGGCCCGGCTCCTTGCGCATTTGTGAGCAAGTCCGCCTCCCCAGGGTCAGGCCATGAGGCTCCCAGGAGTACCACTGCCTTGGGAGGCCATCACAGCTCCCCAGCCCACCGCTCCTGAGGCAGCACGCAGCTAGTTCTGATCTAAGGTTTCAAAGTTTGAGGTTAAACCAAAAGAAGTGCAGAAGTACAGTCTGTCTTACCACAATCACTCACTCATTCATCACTATATTATTTGCCGTAACAAGAAAATAAATTATCCCTTAAACACTACACCTAACTGAGAAGAAAATGTCTCTCCACAAATTCTGGGAATTAGCCTGTGCCCCAGAGAGTCCATGTTATAGCTAAACAACACAGTTTAAGCCCTACTCTGTGGTGCTTGCACAGATTAGTTACAATTATCAAGTCACTACTTCCAAAAGAACTATTAAAACTATTACTAAAAACATTTGTCACAAACAGAAATGCCCTGCAAATCATGTTATTGCACACAGGGTTATCAGAAGCTATGCATATAGAGATTTTAAAGACTCTAGAAGACCCAGAACAGAGATCCTAGGGCCATGCCTGTAGCCGCTCCAGCCAGCATGCCTAGGGCCAGGTCACTGTCATTGTCTCGATAGCGCTCACGAATGATGACTTGGTTGGCAGGCTGCTGTCCATACAGTCCTAAAAAAGACGGAAAAAGAACTTTGAGAAGTCATTTGTTAAAATCCAACATTTGCTCAGAATTACCACTCCCTCAGGTATAGTCTGTGCCTCCTCTCTATGGGACCACTAACCCACTCCCTCTCACCTGGCACACACCCTTCTCTGGAAAGGTGAGAGCAGGCAGTCTATGCCAGCCCTATCCATCAGGCCCAGCACGCAGTCTGGCAAAGAGGATAGCTCCATGCCCATGAGTGCACTCAGAGAAAAATCAAGATCATTGGCTGGCCAGTGTTAAACTCCACAACACTGCCAGGGATTTAGCTCAGTGCCAAAGTGCCTGCCTGGTAAGTGTGAGGTCCTGAGTTCAATTCCTGGTACTAAATAAATAAATAAAGTCCACAACACTGCCAAGAGGAGGCCCTAACGAAGCAGCAGATTCTGCCCCTAGTTTCCAGGTCAGCTCTCCACATCATGCTTACTGGGATCACAGATAAACAGCAAGTGTGGGAAACATGCAGCCTGCAAACAATCGGGGAGTCAGAAACTCCCAGAGCAAACCCAAAGGGAAAAGCCCATTTAAAAGTGAATTCACACCTGGCCTCCCTGTTCCCGTGGCAGAGAGGTTTACACTCAGAAGACCCAGGAACTTCTCTGGCTGCGGGTGGGGTGAACAGACTCTCAGCCCCACGCGCCCTGTCCCGAGACAGCCAGTGTTCCAGGAGCATCTGGACCCCTCGGCTCGAGTCTGTGCACGCCCACACCACCACGATTCCCAGCTGAAACGCCCAGAGAGAGCCAGGTATTTCACAGCTACTCCCTGAGGGCAGAGCGTGTGCATCAGGACCCCGCCGCCCAAGCCCCAGGAACTTCTCTGGCTGCGGGCGGGGCGAACAGACCCTCAGCCCTGTGTGCCCTGCGCCAAGAGAGCCAGTGTTGCGGGAGCAGCGGGACTTCTGGGCTCCAGTTTGTGCTTGCCCACACTGCCACGGTTCCCAGCTGAAACGCGTGGAGAGTGCCAGGTATTTCCCAGCTACTCCCTGTGGGCAGAGCGCGTGCATCAGGACCCTGCTGCCATTACAGATGGAGTCTGACCCTCCCTGCTCCCACGGCACAGAGGCGGTTTTCACTCGGAAGCCCCAGGGTCTTCTCTGGCTGCAGGCAGGGCAAACGGACTCTCAACCCTGCACGCCCTGCGCCGAGTGAGCGAGTGCTCCAAAAGGCGCTGACCCGCAGTGCAAGTCTGAGCTTTGCCTTTGCCCAGACCCCCTAGCCAGTCGAAGGCTGGGAAAGTGTGTGACTAATACCCATCTGGGCAGCATCTGGTTCCTGTATGTATCCTGATCTGACTGGAGACATAAATTCAGGTGGTTCACAAACTGTAGATCCTGCAGTTTGTGTCTGAATTATACCTGTACCCTAAATTACCTGGGGACATAGGTCTACGAACTGGGATTGCCACATGAGTGCAACCCAAGTCAGGTCGTGCATGTGCCCTGAACTGCAAGGGGACACTGGATCAGACGGTCAGCCATCAAATGACACAAGTGCTCGTGTCTGAGAATGGGGATAACTAGATATAAATCAAAAACTGCCAGAAAAGCCGACACTAAGTAGTACTACTCAGAGGTCACCCAGGGGCAAACCTGAACAACAGGAAAAGTAGGGTCACTAGTAGTTTTCGCTGAGCAGCTGATGAAGAGGGAAACTGACCTTTCTGCATCCGGTAGCAAGCATGCCAAAACAAAAGAATAAAACACAATCCCAGAACTCTACCCCAATCAGAACAAGTCCAGGAGACATCGACATAGGAGAACTTCGTAAACACATGCCTGAAATAGCTGAAATGATTGCAATGGAAGTAAAGAAACAACTCCATAAGGCCAT